TGTTGTTGTTGTTGTTGTTTTCGCTTACGCACGTGAATCTGGCGCGCGATAAACGACCAATCAGAGAGAGCTACAAACCATCAGAATGGACTGGAATGTTTTTGGCCAAGTTCGCACTAATGCGTTTTTGTTTGAAAATACATACTTTCTGATACGTTTTCGTCTTCCTCGAATATCGAGGCTACATTTGCAAAATTTTAAAAATATTTTAAGAATAAGCCCGAGGAGGTTAAGATTTTGAAGAGAATATAATTTTGTGTGTTAAAAAAATTGTAAATACAATACAATTATATGCTTTTAACTAAACCGTATAAATTTCTTCTTTTTTTTCTCTGCAAAACTGGCCTAAAAGCAACAAAAACAGCACCAGCGGCCGTATGTTCGATCCTAATAACATTTCTGCAAGAAATTATGTGCGTCTGATCAGGCTTTAATGCCTGTAGGCTGGCTCCAGAATTACTTGAACGCCTGCCATTCAGACACCAAATACATTCGAAAACAGATATGTCAAACCCTATGATCTAAGAGTATTCACACGAATGTTTTCGGCCTTAAATCGGCAGAAAAATAAGAATATTCAATCTCGGCCAGAAAAACAATATTTTTGTAAGAAAAGAGTTTAGTTTGGACAGGTAAAGATAAGGGGACTCTTCTATCAGAGTTGTTGATACGATATGTAGTTTCAGTCTCAACATGATCAGAAAACAAGCGTGAAGAAAACAATCAAGATATACGCTCCTAGAAACCACTTCGTGTATTTTGACAAAGCTGGACAGAGGGACGTTATCTTTGTATTAAAGCATTTCTATGTTTGAGATGTTCTGGAGGTATTTTTTTCATTCAAATGTATTCAGTGGAAAACGCTAGTGTGCGGAGCAAAAATATTTTGCCTTGTTTGGGTTGAGACGAAAACGAAAACTTTTGACAGTGCATCAGTGTTGTCGGGGCCTTAGTGCGGGATCGTTACTAAAACACCACACGAGTACATACGAGTAACATACGGATACATACGAGTACATACGAGTGACATACAAATACGTACGAGTAACCGTACGAATACGTACGAGTAACATACGAATACATACGAGAATGTTACTCGTATGTACTCGTGTGGTGTTTCAGTCACATCCTCAGTGTGTACGGCGAAAATGGGGGTGTTTTCTCACAGCATATCAGCAATTTAGTGTCCCCGAAACCGAAGTGTGGACAGGTTCTCAGAAGTTCTTCTCGACATTTATGTTTGTTTTCCTATCGAATATTCCTCAAACCACGTCGGAACATGCACTAAAAGCCATTGACCCACCCTGAATTATGTACCTTTTTTGTCTTTCCTTCTCAATTGATTACATTTTAATTTTCACGCTAACCTGGTTTGTTTATTTCGTGTTACAGCAAGGCTGAACATCCAGATTGTCAGTGAAAATGGATGTATGGTGCGAATAAGAGGCGAGGCTAGTCAGCTATATCTTGTCATGGGAGTGAATGGTACTCTGTCCGCCCAGGTGTGTATAGTTTTCTCATTTCTTTCAGTGTCAGTTTTAAGACTTTGTTGTTGCATCAAGACATCGGCGCCTAGTAGGTGATTTTCTTCGCTCTCACAACCTGTCTGCTGTACAACGTTTTGATCTTGTAAGGGGTGAACCACTTGACTTTTTAGGGGCGGGGGAGAGAATTTTT